AGTGGGCATGGGCCTCTCCCGCGATCCAGCTCCCTCGTGGGCACCAGGGCGAAGGCAGGGACCCGGTGCCCCTGGGCGGCTGCCAGGCCCCCCAAAGCAGTACCTGTCTCAGGTTGTAGACGTACACCCTGCCTTGCTCCCAGCCCTCGCTGAAGTACATTGGGGCGCCCACCAGCAGGACGTCAGTCACACCGTCGCTGTCGATGTCCACCGCGGTGATCTCACTCCCGTAGTAAGAGCCTATCTGCGGCACAGGCACAGGGCGGGGAGGCGTGGGGCGGGGCTGCTGGAGGCCTCGCCTCACCAGTGCAGGGGGACTGAGGGACACAGTCTTTGGAGGACAAAACGAGAAGGCCCTCCCCTTCTCACGCCTCTTCCCCCCACTCCCTCCCCTCCATGGAGTGGACTCGCCCTGTCAGTCTGTCCTTCCTTCTCTTTTCTCCTTCTTATATTAGTACATCTCTGCCCCACTCTTCTTTCCAGTGTTCAATGTTATTGATCGCCATTTCTTCTGTTTGTAATCGATACAGTATAATGGCAAAAAAGAGCAAAATAACAAAAGGTCTAAAGAAGAGAATAAAAGTCACCCCTTGTCCAAACATCCAGCTGCTATGAGCCTTTGAGTGTGTTTTCTTCCAGTCTGTTTTCTCTACAGTGTGTGCCCTGTTTGTGTGTGTATATATGGTTTATTTTTCCAATCTAGGATCATACTATACATATGGCTTGCATACTGATGGATCATGAGCATTTATTATTTTTTGCTATACAACATTGCTGATTCTATAATATTCAAAATTGTGCATGTGCCAATGTGTTTAATCAGTCCTCTATTGTTGAATTTAACTCGTTTCCATGTTTAATGTCACAAATAACTAGGATTAGCACCTTGTGTGGTGAATTATGATTTCTTTCCAGCCTTTGAGCAGTCACTATGTTCCTCTCCCACGCTGGATGCCACGCTCCTCACCTCAGTGAGGGCACCATCACCCACTCAACCAGGGGGTCCTCCCCGGCTCTATCCTTTACCCTCTCCCACCTGCAGTCTCCCAGCGTGTCCCACCTGGTGTTTACCAAACATGGCCCCAGTCCATCTACTTCCCCCTCTGCGGCTCCCTCCCCAGGTCGGGCACCATCCAAGGGCCTCCCTGCGTCCAGGCCAGCCCCTCCAGCCCACCCCACGCGCAGCCAGAGCGGCTCTAGCCGCTGACCGTGCTGCTTCCTTGCTTTTGGGAAAAAGTCCAAACTCTCCAGTGTGATGCTGCTGCACCTGCTTCCCTCCCTTCCCTCCCTCCGGCTCCTACAACCCCTCCTGCCACACCTGTGATTTCTCTTCTCCAGAAGCCCCACGCCCTCCTCGCCTCTCCCCTGCCCCGTGAGTGTCTACCATCCCTGAGGTCTCTTTCTCTTAGAAGCATCTCTGTCCTTCCCACTCCACTCCCCACAGTGGGAGCCCCTTCTAGCTGCTCCCCTGGCCTCATACTCCTCCCACCACAGGTGCCTCGTGAGGTGGGCACTGTGCCTGCTGAGTTCCCTCCAGGCCTTGGTGCCCTGCCTGGCACAGGGAGGCTCTCAGTCAATGTTTATTGAACCAGTGGGTCACCCAGGAAAGGGAAGGAGTCCTCCCAGGGACAGGCCCTGTATGACACACTTTACAGCCTCAGGTTAGCATGTATGAGCCTCATGTTTCATTAAGGAGAGACCAAGGTCCTCATCTTACAGCAGTGATGGCGAACCTTTTCAGCTCGGTGTGCCAGCATTTTGAAAAACCCTAACTTAACTCTGGTGCTGTGTCACATATAGAATTTTTTGATATTTGCAACCATAGTAAAACGAAGACTTATATTTTTGATATTTATTTTATATATTTAAATGCCATTTAACAAAGAAAAATCAACCCAAAAAATGAGTTCGCGTGTCACCTCTGACACGCGTGTCATAGGTTCGCCATCACTGTCTTACAGGGAAGGAACTGAAGCCCAGGGAATTTGAGTCACTTGCCCAAGGTCCAAAGGCCGGTCATGGCCAAACTGGGCTGGAACTTGGGTCTGTCTAACACCCGAGCCCGTGACTCTCTCTCCCCAGTCACCTCCTGGCTTAGGGTGCATTCAGAAAAAACTATCCTAAAGCATGAACAGCTTTTAACTAAGGAGAAAGATAAAAATACAGAAGAGAGAAACAAAAATCATAAACCCGGGGCAAAAGATGTGCTTGTCTAAAGTAATTAAAAGGCAGACAGAGGAAAAATAAGGAGGGAGGGAGGGAGACATATGTCTAAATATGTGGCCTCAGCTATGTGGGTCATGGTGACTTAGAATCCACTTAATTTAGCTGCCTTCAGCACTGTGGTTTCTCTTTCGGATGTTGGAGGCGGGACTGGGCAGTAAAAATGTCATAAATTCATCAGCAAATTCCCTCTAGCTCTCCAGGTCTAGCCTTGGATTCCCAAAAGAGCTGGCTCTGGGCCAAGTGTGGGCGGAGAGGGCAGAGGCTGGGGGACAGAGCAGTGTCCTGGGTCCACCAGAGCCCTTGAGATGACAAGGGGAGTGGTGGGATGAGGGCTTCCTACAGCTGGAGGGGTCTAGGTTAAACCCAGTGAGGAGCTTGTCCTAAAGGTGACAGGCCAAGGGCAGTCGTAGACGATGCAGGAGACAGGGCTGTTCCCAGGCTCTGTAGAGCTGGGCCAGTAAGACCTGGAGAGGGCCCAGCCTAAGGCCCAGGATGCCATGGATGCTGGATCCGGCTAGCCAGGAGGGGCCGAGGCCTGGTTTTGGGGTTGGGGGTCAGGAGGTGGCACAATGCAAGAGCCCCACCAAGAGTCCTGGCTTCTGAACTTGACCCAGTCATGAATCCACTCTATAACCATGGAAAAGCTGTGTTGCTTCCCAGGACCACAGGCTTCCTCAGCTGTTGAAATGACTTGGATCAGAACCCTGTGTTCTGGTCTTTTCACCACCAATGACTGTTGTCATAGCTTTCCATCTGCACTCATGACCGTCCAACACGAGACTCTCCGCAGCACGGTCAGGTTGCCCACCACATCCCAGGGGGGCAGTGGCATTGGCCGCCGTACCGTTCTGCATTGCTGACATTCCAGGAAAAGGAAAGAAGCTGGCGTCTCAGTGAACCCATGGGGCCTCGAGTGGGTGGGTGCACAATTCCTCCCACTCCTGGCAGCGTGAAGATGGCTTGAGGAACATGACTGCCCCTCAGGACACCTAGGGACCCTGGCAGTCCAGGCTGGGAAGCACAGTCTAGAATGAGCGGTTCTCAACCTGTGGGTCGCGACCATCGGGAAACACATATAGCATATCAGCTATTTACATTACGATTCATAACGGCAGCAAAATTACAACTATGAAGTAGCAACGAAAATAATTTTATGGTTGGGGGTCACCACAACATGGGGAACTGTATTAAAGGGTCGCGGCATTAGGAAGGTTGAGATGCTGCTTCTAGCCATGAACTCTAAACATGTCCAGGAAGAAGCTGGCAGTTGGGGCAGAGGTTCATGAAATGCAGGCAAGCAAGTGCTCAGCTTCTCCTCGCTGCAGCGGGGACAGGGCCTGGCTTTCTGGGGATGGAACCGTTCGCTCCAAGGCTGGTGGGAAGGAGATAGATGTCCCCCAACCAGGAAAGATGTGTGTGGGCCTGGGGACCGTCCTACTGAGAGGGAAGAGATGAGGTCCAGAGACCCCTCCAGCCCAGCTTTCCCCATTGGTCTAGCCCCCTCTGTTCCTCCCTCCCCAGAAAACTCCCCCTTTGTTACCTGCTCGCCCCGCAGGGCCTGGTGGATGGTGAGACTCCGGTTGTTGTGCATGGTGAACAGGATGGCTTTGCCGGTGTGGTTGAACCGGGGGGCTCCAGCCACGTACACCCGCCCCTGCCTGGAGGACACGACCGATGTGACTGTGTACCCTGCCACAGGAGGAAACAGGCTGGTCTCTGGCCCACGTGCTCGGCAGGTCTTGCCGGGGCCCCACGAATGGCTCAGCTGTACGGAGGACAGGCCGGTGCAGGAAGTGCATTCGGGGCCAGCCGGGCAGATGCCATAACCCAGGGCAGTCATTCCCAGGCGTGCACCCACCCCTGCCGGAGGGAATACAGGAAGCCAGGTGGGGCCACCACAGGTGTAGCTGACCTGGAATGAGCACATCCCCTCCTTCACCGGCAGCAGGAGGGAGACGGGTGAGCCCAGGCTACGTTTCATATTATATTAGGCAGGCTTGGTTTTTGATCCTCACTAACTGTTTATCGGGGACCAAACAGTGTCCTCTCCATTCCCATAAATCCTTGCCAAGTGGCTCATGAAAACCAATGTTGTCTGCATAGATGTAATGACCTCAGGGATTCTTGCAGCCCCAGAGCTTTGCAGACTCAAAGGAGGGAGCTCCCACCTCTCAGGCCACACATACGCCACGCAGTATGGAAGAAATGGAAGCCCAGGGCTCTTTGGAAAGACGCCGACCTGTGTTCTCAGGATGGCGTGGCCTGATCACTGTGACTCTCGAGTTGCCCACTCGGCATCCAGAAGATGGCTGTGCAGCAACTTCAGGCAGCTCTCCGGAAAGCGTGCTAAGCCGAGTTCCACTCTCTGCCAGACGATTCTGGACCCTGGATCCCGGTTTTAGGTGAGCGCCAGGCCTGTTGGCAGTTCCTGGGCTCTTTCTGGGAATGGATGTCTCCTTCTGCCATGTGTGCGTGTGTGTGCGTGTGTGCGTGCGTGTGTGTGTGCATGTGTGCGTGTGTGTGTGTGCATGTGTGTGACACTCTCATCTGGTTCCTAGCAGTTGGTTCCAGAGTGGCTACAGGATGCACAGAGGAGCTGACTCAGTGGCTAGGAGTGTGGGAGCAGCAGGCTGTCTACTCTGGCTTCAGACACAACTTTTCTGACCCCTGGAGGTGTATCCTGGGAAATGGGGCTTGAAAGGTCAGTAGGGCCTGGACACCGCGTGGGGTAGCTACCGTGGCTGTGCACTTAGCACAGCCAGAGATGCCTGTGTGAGGGCGGGTGGGGCTAGCCTGTGGTGCGGAACAGAGATTTCTTCTGAGCTGAGCCCTCAGTGGCACGGCTGGAAATGTTTTCAACTGGCCCTGGGCCTTAGGCCTTCCAAGTGGGAGACGGTGGTGGTGGGAGGGGCCTGAGGGCTGCATGTCCTGAGGGCAGGCGTGGGCTGACCCGCAAAGCTCCAAGCAGCACTGAGAATTTCCTGCTCCCATCAGTCCGCTGGCTGGGGCTTCGGTTCCCATGTGGCTCCTTGGCCAGCAGGCAGGGCCACCCTGAAAGCTGAACCAGCCTCCCAAAGGCCTGCCCAGAGGGCTCGGCCGGCAGCCATAGAGCTTCCCCCGTGGAGGCGGGAGCCTGGCCTTTCAGTCTCTTCCCCGCCCCCCCCTCCCTTGGGGCACGTAGGGAGGAATCTTCCAGAGACCTAGACCCTGCCCTCACTGGCCCAGCCCCAGAGGGAGGCACTCCCTCAGGATCCCACCCAAATGGTGACAGTGGTTAAGACCTGGGGTTTCATGAGGGTCCGTCAGCCTGTCTCTACCCCCAGGATCTCCTGGGAGGAGGAGGAGCATTAGAAACATCCACTGGAGCACATTTCAGGGGCAGGTGCAAGGCTTGTCATTTATTCTACCTACTTATTTGCCGGACAGGGTGCTGGCATGGTGGGCACCAGGCTGAAGAGGTGATGGCCCCGACCCCTGCTTGAGTCAGCAGAATGCTCACAGAGGGGCCCCTTGGTTCATGGGTGGGCTCCCCGGGGCCCCTCCTTGCCCACTGCCCAGCAGCGGCCCCGCGCTGGCTCTCACCCAGATACGCGCCGTGGTTCTTGAGCTCCTCGGGGAACTCCTTCAGGTAGGACTCTCGGAGGGGGATGACCTTCCCGCCACTGGTCTCCTTGAGCACAGCTCCGTTCCAGTCATAGGCACCAACGGCTCCCAGCAGAATCCCGTCCTGACAGCGGGGAGGGACACACATCAGCTCTGGTCCCCCAGGTGGCCCTCTCTGGGAAGCCACACCAGGTCCTGCACCATGAAGCATCTGCCAGCCACCCTGGGCGCCTTCTCCTGGGTTCACTGTTTAACAGCCCAACTTTGTAGCCAGGATCCTTGGCTTTTGAATGACCTTCAAAAGGTCATTCAGGACCTTCTCGCCCCAATCCATCCTTAGAGCAAAATGGGTCAAACTAATCTTAAGGATGGGAGCTTAGGAGAGAAGGAATGTTCTAGAAAGAAACTCCAAACCCAGGACCAAACCTCCATTACTCTGGGCTTCAGAACCCTTCCAGGAAGTCTCTTGTCACTATTCCTTCTCTCTGACACTCCTTCAAGCTGTCCCTGCACTTGGCCTCCGTCCACATTCCCCTGTAGTGTCTGAGTTGCTTCCCTGTGTGTAAATCCTGCTTCATTTTTTAAGTAAAAATTCACTGTGTTTACTTTGTGCCAGACACCTCATGGAGCTCAAAGACCGTAAATGAATACACAAGTAAATGTATACACAAATGAATACACAAATAAATGTAATAGTTGCAAACCGTGATAAATGTGAAGAGGGATGTAGTAAACGCCACAGTGAGGCTTAATTTAGATTGAGACGGGGTCAGCAAAAGCGTTTTTGAATGTGATGCTTATCCAGACACTTGGAGGGGGTGGGGACAACTTGTGCAAGGCCCTGCGGCTGGAGAGGGTTTAGAGCCTTTGGTTTCAAGGAACTGAAAACTGGCCCTGGAATGCTGAGGGAGAGGGGCAGTGTGGTCCAAGATGAGGCTGGAGAGATGAGCCAAGGCCCCATCCATGACAACCCTCTCCCTTCCTCTCTGAAATCAATAAAAATATATATATATATATATATTTTTTTAAAAAGAACCATCGGGCTCGTATCGTCCATAGGGCTGAGGCTGAGAATTCCTGGCCCTGTGGTTAGAGCATGAGCTCTGGGGACAGACCTTCCTGACTCGTTCCACCTCCAAAGCTTCTAGCTGTGTACCCTCTCAAGTTTCTCTCTCTCTGAGCCTCGAGTTCCTCGGCTGTTTTGTTGTAAGAGCTAGCATTTTAAATTCTTAGCAGGTGCTTGGCAGCTAATAAGGACAGGGTACATAAGCAGCTGTTCTCATTCATTAATTCACCCACAAAGCACTTCCGGGGGCAGAAGTCAAAGCATCAGATCTCACGGTCAAGCTGGTGCTCCGGGTGAACCTTCACATCAGCTCGTGAGCAGTGCTCTCACGGAGGCCAGGACAGCCTGTGTTGGGGCCCAGCCGAGGGACGGGGTGGATGTACATTGGAGTTAGGAAGGGATTTTAAGAAAAACTTACTTGATCAATGATTACGTAAGTCTCAAAATTGCAACGTCCTTTCCAAGCCTCAAGATTCAATTCTACAAATACTTTTCAGACTGAAAACTGGGTCTGGAATCTATTCAAAGACGAAGGTCCAGACAGGTTCAATGATTTGTCTGAGGCTGCACGGCCAGGCAGTGATGGAATGAGAATGCCAGCTGCCGGCGATTCTTCCTGGCACTGGAGAGGCAGGACTGTGGAGGCAGGTGGCGGTGGTCAGTGGCGGTCCTGGGCGCTGGCGTGCAGGGAGACCGCCTCTGGGTGCTGTCCCCCGCCCCCTCCCCAGATGCTCCCACGGCTCCCTAGTGCCCGTGTGTCCACCACCAGAGTGACTCTAGAGGGGGCCGGAGTCTATTCGCAGGAGCCCCTTCTAAGGGGCTATGTCATTCAGAGGGTGGATTGTGCTTTAACTAGTTGCTTGGATTCTGGCATGAAACTTGTTTTCAATAAGCTCAAAGTGAAGCCTGAGGAAGGATGAGTGCCAGGCGTTTAGAGGGGGATGGGTGGGAAAGACCCAGAAACAGGCCCTCAACCTTCCTGTGGAGAGGAGCCCCTCACGGTGGGTGCTGCTTGAAGCCGTGGCCAGGGCAGGGAGGAGGGGCTGCGGAGGGCAAGGGGCACACTTGCCCTTGCTCATTCAAGATCAGCGGGTTGGCGCCTCTGCTCAGGGTTTCTGGGAATGAGGCTCAGGAGTGGGGTGCTGGGACCAGGGCACAGCCCCAGGACACATGGTGGGGCTTAGGAGGACCTTAGCAAACCGGAAATGATTCCTGCCACCAGGAGCCACCTTGTAACAGTCTGGAGTAAGCATGCGGCAGACCTTGGCTACCATGTCCTGGCCTCACGGGGGGAAGCGGAGGACGTTGGGGGGGAGGGGGCGAAGAGGGGGGGATGGACAGACAGCCCTAGCTGGCGGGTGGAAGAGTCTACCCCATCGTTAAGGCATATGGGGCCTCAGGAGGGGCTCACAGCTTCGAGGTCATTTCACCATGATGGACTGGTTTCTTTCACTTTGGATTGAACCAGATATGCAAACCTAGTTAAAGTGCAAAACTCCTTCGAATAATAACAGCTTTAAGGCATCAACAGCTGAGAACCTTAGATACAGGCAATGACCTTTGCTATCCGGTCCATAACCCAGGAGGGGAGGGCACAGGCTGAGGAGGCAGGGGGGTGTCAGATCATCATGTGTAGGTCACAGGAAAAATGATCTCTTCTTATCTTGGAGTTTTTGTAGACAGACCCACCCTAATAAAACTGCTTCCTTCTGTAAACATTGGTGTGGAAGGGGGTTTATGGACTCAGTGTGGGATGCTTACTGTGAAATTCCTCTGCTGCGTCCTCCCCAGCAGCTCCATCCATCACCAAAAGGCGTCAATTATTTATGGTTTTCTTCCTTCCTCCACACTTTTCCCTTGTGGCCCATGGGGATTATAGACTCAGAGTCGATGCCACCTTGCGGGGTAGGCTCCCTTCTGCAAGCTTTCTGAAAGCCTTCTTGATTACCCAGCTTGACAGGGAGTTCACTACCTCAGTAGCCAGCCAGCAGTCACAGAAGCCATCCCAGCCATTAGTGACCTTCGCATGTATTTCCAAGTGCTAATGAAAGCGTTGGCTTCAAAATCCGTTCTAGAATTTGAGCAGGGAGCCGTAACGTCCAGGATACCCTCTTTCTCCTTTTTGCAAATCAAGACGCGAGCTCTTGGGTCAGCCCCAGCTCTCTGTGTCCCTCAGGGGCTCTGATCCTCGGCCATCAGCGTGGGATGCACTTGCTGGGGTCTGGAGCCCGGGGCTCTGTAGGTGGCCAGGGATGTTCTGGGGTCTCCTCTCCCGTGCTGGGCTCTGGTCCCTCCTTCCTAACTCAAAGGTTGGTTTCCTTGTAGACAGATGGCAGCAGACCAACGAGCTGCTGGGCCTTTCCTCTGCCCTTGAGAGCATTCGACTGGCCCCTCCCCCAGGACCAGAGACCTCTCCTCTGACGTAATGAACAGGCTCAGGCAGCTGAAGCTCCTTCCGCCCCTTCGCAGGAAGTAGCTGTCTGAGGCTGTCCCGGTGGAGCACTTCTGGGGGAGAGGAAGCCTGGGGCTCGCCTAGGAGATGGACTCCCTTGGGCTCAGGACTTGCTCTGGGCAAAGCTGAAAGGCCGGACCCACCTGCCCCTGGTCCCCAGAGAGATCTGACTGACCCTGAGGGCTGCGAGCTGGCCTCCCAGGGACAGGTTGGCTGCGGCCAATTACGACGGCATCAATGGCTGGCGTTGAAAAATCTCTGTGTCTAATAGTAACCCAGTGGCAGGTCGCAGCACCAAACAGTCTACCATCATGGCACCATTCCTTTGCATTTGGAAGTTGGTATTTGTTTTTTTTTTTTAAGTATTAAGGAGTCTCATTCAAATGTAATCATCTTTCTTTTAAAGTCTATCACATAAAAATTCCAGCTCCGTGTCACTTGAAAATGAGACTGGGGGTGACAGAAGAACTGGGGTCTGCATCTGCAGGATGGGGAGAGGCAGCCTGGTCTCTCGAGCTGGGCGTGTAGGAGCAGCTGCACAGGGCAGTGCACGGCCTTGACCTCAATCACAAGCTGGAGCTCTGAGCTCCTGGTCTCCCCCAGCAGCTGGGGACCTGGAGGTCCACAAGGACTCACCTTGCTCCGCACACTGAGCTGCGTGGGCCATTTTCAGGGCTCAGCGCAAGCGTCCTCCAATACCGGAAGTTTATCTTAATTTCCCTTTTCTTTAGGCTCCCGATTTCTGGGTGTACAGAAATCATAGTATGAGAGGCAGGAGACTGAACTGAATCTTTCTCCCCAATTGGACCTCGAGCTGCTGTCAGCTGAAATGTTACCTTAATCTTCATCTATTTATACGCCCCCAGTTCCTGGGACAGAGCCTGGCATCCAGGGAGGTGCTCAAGAAATGATTATGGAATGAACGGAGGAGACAAGGGACATTCCCTCTCTCTCACTGTCCCCAACATCAGGGCTGGCGCCTGGTGTGTGCACAGATTTCCCCTCTGTTCTTCTGCTCACTGCCCACTTCTGATCCTCGTCCTCAGGGGTCTGCCCAAGTGCCAGCCCCGCCCCAGATCCCTCCCTGACGGCCTCTCCCCCGCCTGGGCCTTTCCTTCTATAAGACCCCCATCACACGCTGCTCGGTTAGCATCAGACGTGTACATGTGGTTCCCCCAACGAGCAGGGGTGTTCACAGGGCTCCATGGATGGGGGCCTCCTGAAGTTGTACATTTTTTTTTTTAACCAGAAATCCATTGTTGCTTTCATCCTGCTCTCAAAGCGGAGGAATGCTGCCCTGGATTGCTTGCAGGTTGACGGACTCCTGGTGCCAAGAGGAAATCCCAGTCCCTTCTGGCACCTTAGTCGAATTTGACAAATACTTGTTGGATTTAATTAAATTGGATTTTCTGTTCCATTTCTAATCAGCCCTGAGCCCAGGGTCAGGAGACCGGGTTAGTCCTGACCAGCACATGACGGGTGGCCTGACCGGCTTGAGGGAGGCTCTCCTCTCTCCTGGTGCTGGCTGCTCCGCTCGGACTGCGAGCTGAGGGCAGGGCTCTCGCTCTGCACCTCGTGGGACCCAGCGTGGGACCCAGCACAGGGGTGGCTCTGGAACGATGTGCTGAGGTCACCACCTAATGTGGGGCAGCCATCACCACCAGCTGACTCGGCAGGACTGTCTCCGAGCTTGAATGGGGCGCAGGGATTTCCAATCCCTGGAAAAATGTGAAGTGCTCTGCACATTTGACTGTTAGGATTTTGGGACACGGACAGCTTGCTGTATCCAGGTGGGCGTGGCGTTTGCTGTCCAGATGCTGCTCAGGAAAAACGAGGTGCGGTCCGCCCACCTGCCTGCTGCATGGTGCACAGGCCCCCTCCCCTCCAAGGAGCCCCTCACATTCCACACTCCCTCACGCAGCAGCGGCTCGGTGGGGGAGAGGGCACGAGATGAGTATTTCTCTCATGGAGAGCACTTCAGCAGGCCACGCGACCATTCTGTGATGGGGTTTC